TAGTTTGCTTTGTGCTTTTCTGGGATCAGAGCCATCTTTTCATGTAAGCAATCTGAGCTACTGCTTGGGATCATGTTCTTCTGAGGCCAAGCAGGCCAGGCTAATCTGACCCTCCTCTTCCATAATGTGCCTGCTGCTGCCAAGTTATTACCACTAGATACAATCTCACCCTCGTGCATTTATTTTGAATACATCTTTCCATCATCTGCTGTATGTATTGTCTGGAGGAAGTATATTTTTTGTGTAATAAATGAATTGTTCCTCTAAATGCATGTACACTTTATCTGACATCATTTGCAACCTTGGATGACTGGCAGGCAGAAAACTATGGAGTGTCTCACCACATGTTTTCTCAGGCCAATAGACCTGATTTCATAGCAAGAAATAATATTTGATTTTATTTGCTGATAGGCTTTTATATATGTTCCTGTTGTCCTCCTTCTTACATGTGTATACATGAGAGTCTATAAATATCAAAGATCTTTAGTGAATTTCTTTAGTCTATTTTCTGTTGCTTTTCAGTCTATAAGTGACATCTATACATGCTTCTTGCAGTGATGGAATGCACCCAGGATATTGCATGCTTGGTCTTTCTTGGGCTTGTCTTCAAACTTCATTCTTCTGTGTGCTTCCCCCATGAACACTGAGCAGGTCATGAAATCCATCTCAGCCAGATCATGTGTCTCTGGTGGGGTCATCTCCTTCTGCACTGATCACTGTGAGCTTTTTTAGTGTTAGGAGAAGCAGAAGATTCTAAGGCTTGAAAAATGAGCAGTTTTAGAAGTGTCTTGCCTGTTTAAAAATGAGCTTTGGTGTCTAGCTCAGACATGGATAACTAACATCAGGGGGTTGAGTCTCCCTGTGTTTCCTTTATTGCTCTTTCTTCTCTACTCTCTCTATAACTAGAATTGAAGCAGACCAGTTTATCATGCTGTTCCAGTTCTGAGAAGCTTTACTTTTCCAGAAAACCTAAACCCTTTTTTTTTTTTTCCCCCTAGCTCTCATTGGTAAGATAAACAAAACACCCAAACCAAATTAATTTCCCACAACCCTGAACAAGATCTTCCAAGCCAGCCAACATGATGTGTCACCCTGAGAGTTTGTACTGGAGAATTGCAACAGCATTTTTCACATGCAACACTGTGTATCTGTAGCTCCTTTCTTTACAGTTCTGTAGTTCTGAATGTGTTTCTGGCATGTTGCTTGTGTTTGTGGCACAGAATCTGACACCAGGGATAAAGCTCCTTCTTTAAGGGGCTTGCCAATTTACTTGGAAACAACGCTGGTGTGAAATAAAACGTTGCTGCTGTTCTTAGAGTTTGAAGACGAAGCATTCTGCCTGTGGCACATAAAATCCTTATGATTCAGATTTGTGCTGAGCAAAACAAGCAGGAGTTAAGGTCTGGGCTGTAGTGAAACAAAGTTGGGTATCACTGAGGCTGCCAACATCTTTCCTCGCACAGATTGTGTTCTTGGTGAGCTGCAGGACTGTGTTGGTGGATGTGATATGTTTGGTGCTAGCTATGTTTGCTAGTCCTTGAGCGGGAAGTATCATGATGCTGTTTGGATAAATATTTGCCATTTACCTTTTTGATGGTACAGCCTTTCCTGTTGTAAGTGATAGGTCTGACCAGATTCCTGAGTAGAGGCAGAGTCAGATCCGCTGCATGCCACTCTTTAGATGGATCAAGAGACAAGACCAGCCCAGACAAACATAAAGACCCATGATGGTCTTAATTTTTCAGTCATCAAAGTCACATAACAGAGGAGGATGCAGAAGGGCCATACCCTCACAATACCACCCCCATGGTACACTGGAGTCCACCCCTCTTGAACCACTGTGTTGGAGTGCTCCGGGAGGTGGAAACGCCAGAGATGACTTGTCACTAAAGAGCCAGAGCAGAGCTTTAAAATGGGAACATCTTGGCACCATACCTACATAATTTTTTTTCCTTTGCTTAGTATTCAGCCTTAGGACAAATTAATTTATATGGAATTCTGCTGTACTTGCCACTAAATTTGTTGTCTTTTCTAAAGCTTGTCTTCCCCTGTGAAGGGAGATAAACAAAAAGTATATGTATATATTCAATTTTAATGCATACTAGAAATCACTTTATGGAATGTTTTATTTATTTATTCAACACTAACCTTTGCATTTGCATCTGTAAATAATACTATAAAACTGAACTGGGCCAGAGAGTTCTTTTAGGGATTTGTTCTGTCATACAGCTTTAAAACTCAGTCATCTGGTTAAAATTTGAAGTGGATGCCCAGAGTAAGTAGGTGAATAATAAATAAAAATTATTGAAATGAATAATATCCTCTTTATCTCTTTATCTGAAATCACATAAAGGCTGCAAGTTCAGTTTAATCCTTCTGGCATCAGTCAGTCTGAGCTTTAATAGAGAAAAGACAGGAAAAAACTCAGACCAACAGCTGGTCTCTGGTTTTTAACTTGATACAGAGTGGGACACTGGGAGATACGAATGGTTGAAAGAGATTGCGCTTCATGTCACTGAGCTTTCTGTAGCTACTGCTGTTATGCTGCTGCAGAAGAAAAGGAAATGCCAGGGGCAAAAGATAAAAGAGAATCGAAGGAAATGGCCGTACGTTGTTAATCCTTTCCTCTCGTGGTGAGAATGGTTAATCCATTGCGGAATACAATCAGGATGCTAGATCCACTTGGTCTTGCTTGTGAGCATGACTTAACTGGGACTAAGTTGCCTGAAGCCCGGCTAACTGGCACCTGTAGTCAGGACTTACAAAGGATAACCAAGTTTTTTGATGCAACTGCCACAACTTGGTCTGTGCTGTGTAAGCCATGTCCAGTGACTCAAGGAATATTCCTGGCAGGAACTGTGCTAAAGTCTGAACAGAGTCGTAGCACTGTAGAATTTTGACTTTGGGGTGTGGATTCTCAATTATTTTTTCTAAAAACCTATGTGTTCTGAGAATTAGTTATCTTAATATTGATGCTGACTTCATAAGCCTAATCTCAAATTTGGACTAGGAGTTTTCTTTTCCTGGCTCCTTTAATTAAAAAAGACAAGCGATTCTTTGTTGCTTTATTTTGTATCTACTCAGAATTCCTTTTTGGGCAGAGGACTCTATCATATTTTTTTAGGCAATCACCTGAAAAGCAGAGGAAGTCCGGCTGTTGCGGACTTGTAGTACAGTATGTTACCCTATCTAGAGACAGTGCTAAAGAAATGTGGCCAAATTAGAACATTCAGATAATATCTGATCTCCTGAAGAACATGGGGCAGAAAAACTTTCTTAATATTTCTTACAAGCTTTGTGGTGTTGGCTGAAGTTCACATAATTGGAGACCTTTTTGACTTGAAGTTTGAAGGATGTGCTTTGATATCTTTCCTCCATATGTGTTTTACTGGCAGCTTGAGCTGTTACTGGCTAGACTGGCATTCCTGTTGGCATAAATACAAAGGCCTGATTCTTTTGTCTTTACACATATCAGTTGCTTTAGGTACTTGATGGAGTCTGAATTTCAGTTTCTGACTTTCTTTTGCTGACTGTACAGTGATTTAGTTGTGTAGTTGAGTGCAAACATAGCAAGAATGAATTAACTGCCTCAGGCTTTGGACACTGCTCAAACAGCCCTTTCCAATCATCTTTCTAAACTGATATATGGTCCAGCTCTGATGTGGCTGCTGCATCTCTGTGGTCAAAGATGCTGCCTGTTCAAGAAAGGTTAATATTCAGTGTGAGCACATGTGGTTTATCTTCCCAGTCACTCTTAGCCATCCATCACAGTGGTGCCACAGGACACATCACTAGGTTGTGAACCCTTCCAATCTGAACATGGACGTGCCTCCAATTTGCAAATCCAGCTACTGAAATCAAATGCAATGCAGAATCTCATGCTTAAATGCTAGTATTTTCCCATTAGGGACTTAAATTTGGCTGTTACAAACATTGAAGTTTTTTTTCAGTTCTCTTATCTACGTCCTTAGCTGGCAATCAACCCTTGTTATGTTAGACCAGAATATATATCAGATGAAATTTATTTGAAATCCTGATCAAAATGCTGCCTGATATTTAGTCCTCTGTGATCTAGTGGTAAAGCATAGCAGTTATTTCTCAAAGCGTATTTTTTTTCTCTGAAGGACCAAATTTTTCATAGTTGGAGAAAAGGAGCTTACATATGTTTTGATTGTGAGAGGATGCATTGTGGGTAAGAAAATAATTACATGGAGAATGGTGCTTGTGATATTAAGCAGAATATATATGAAGAAAATATATGTCTGAAACTCAGAGTGGAGTTGCATGGTAACTTGATTACAGTACAGCTGTGTCATTTCTTAACCAGAAAGACTCAAAAAGATCATTATATTGAAAATTTGGCTTCCAAGGAGAGTCATGTCACTATCTTTGGTGTTTAACTAATGACCAGGTTGATTTCTAACTTATCTAAAAATTTAGATATCATTGTCAATATTAGAAAATATTATATATTAGGATATTATAATATAATATTATATATTAGGAGCAATTTATTTTTCAATACAGAAGAGGTTTGATTCATTCCATAAAAACAAATCATGGCATGACCTTGAGTCACTATCTCATCAGAGTCATGTTGACTAACCTGATTTGTCTCTCATTCTATTTGATGCTAAAAACTCACATGTCACCTGCTTCCTATTAAGCAAAAAAAAGCCAGGAGAACAGCCAGCTTTGTTATATGGCAGTCAAAGTGAATGTGTTGACAGCTGAAATTTGGAAGGACAAAGTTGTTTGACAATGTTTGGGAAGAGACAACCTGCTTTTTATTCTCAGGAATCCAGTCTGGTTTAAGAATAAAGGGAAGTCATTGCCTTGTTAGCCTCCCCTGGCAGTGAGGATGATTGATAATTGTGTAAAATTATTGGGAACGATCCATTCATGTTCTTTAATCTGAGCTGATGTTAATATTTTGTCTATCAACAGTCTTCCTTCTTTTTCATCTGAGTTTATTCTTTCTCACTCTCTCTGTCTTCCAGCTGTACAGCTCCATGGACTTCGGAAGAAAATGGCAGCTCATGCATGAGCGGGTCACTCCAAACAGGTTTTACTGGTGAGTGAGGGCCGCTGGCTTGGCTTCCTTTGGGTGGGTCATGGAGGGGAGAAGAGCATCTAACTTGAAGGGATTGGTTGCTTTACCTGAACATGAAGTATACCCTTGGTTTTGTTCATCATCAGTGATATAAATTCAGTCCATAGAACACACCTTGCAGTGCAATAGTCTCTCTTCTTGTCTGATAAAACGTGGTTTCTTTTACAGAGAAGTACAAGTCTTTTGATATTTGCAAAACTCCTGCTTCTTCATTGTACGCCTGCTTAGAGTAACACAGAGGAGCTGTCCAGTGCCTCAGTGACAAAGCTGTGACCATTAGACTTGCTATTTTTCAGCCCTTTAGAGAGTTACTTTAGCCTAGAACACAGTCTTTGTGCAGAGCCAGCCACTCTGACCAGTCTCCTTATGCAATCTTGGTGAGAAGGGATGATTCACTCTGCTTTTAATCACTCTCTGAGGAGCCAGTTTTATTATAGTGACTAGTGAAAGCCCAAGATCCGCAGTTTGCTAAAAATCTGCTTTGTGACTCAATTCATTCTCATTTCCTAAGTGTCAACCTCTCAAATTGGAAGAGTGTCTTAAAATCAGATGATGAAACAAATTTAGTTCCTATCTCCAGGCTCAGCCATCTCAGATGCCTCTTTTCCAAACTTCGCTGCACCATGTGAAGATTCAAGAATTGACTTTTAGAGAGAAAAAAGTATAGTTCTTCTGGAGTTGAGTTTAGGATTTGGGGCTTGAATAAGATTCTTAATGCCGTACTTACTATATGCCAGATGATGGGGTGTGTGTGAATGTGTAGAAGTGCTGATTTACAGAATCTCTGCATAGCTAAAAAAAGCGTCTGGTTCTTAAGACCCAAAAAGATTGTAATATTAAGGAACCAGAGGGCTACATTTTGGAGGGTTAAAAATAAAAAGAACTTGGAAAACGTAAAAATTTACTCCCAATTACAAAGCATGATGCATATCTATATCTATATCTATATATCTTTGAGTCAAATTCTCATAGAAGTTTTTGCACCTCATTGAAAGCCCGTGGAATCCAGGCACAAAATATCTATAGATTGTGTTTTCAGTATTTCCACACCTTGCAGTGGAGGTAGACTCCTCATTTTAAATTATCTACATCCTTCTTCAAATCTCTCTAAACATCTTTTAGACTCCAACATTTAAAACATTGACTTTTTGGCACACGGTCTAGCGATTTCCCTTAGTGTCCCTGAGGAATTTGGACAGTGTGAGAAAATTCTGAACACTGAGGAAAGAAAGTTTTAAGGTTCCTAAGTCATACAGACCTGCAAAATATATCAAAGGTCTAGAGCTTGTCTGTCTGTGTTACTGTTCCACAATTCCATAATGTTGGAAAGAAAGTAGTTTTTCTCTCCTGGTTCTGGTGGCAGGTGGATGATTGACCTATCAAAAATCCTTTGATCTCATTGTTCATGCTGAGTGCACATGACAAAAGCGAGTGTAGATCCTCTCCAGGTGTATCCTTCTGTAGAGCAGAATAGCTGGTCCTTGGAATAATTTTACCCAATCCTTCAAATAACAAAAGTGAGCTTAGGGGAGAGGCTTTCTTGGAGGATAAAGTGCAAGGGCTAAGCTGACTTTGGAAGAAAAGCAGAACCTCTTTTTAAAGGACAGGTTGTGTTGTTGTGCCTTATTTTCTGCTTCCATATAATAGTGGTCAATGGAAATTGCCTGTTTGTCCATTTGACACCCAAATGTGTATTGTTTCCCACAGTCTACCTATTTTTTCATTGTCTTTTGCTGCATGGTTTGAACACTGTTTTTTAGCAGTGCATTATGTCTGTGTTTCAGGTGTCTTTTTCTCTTAGGAAATGTACAAGTCTTCTATAGCTAAAACTCATAGGACATAGACTTAGAAAGTTTTATTCCACTCAGAAACAGCAGAGTCCCATGGAGAATAAGCTTCCCAAGAGAGTGAATTAGGTTTTTCCCAGAGTGGGAGGGATTTGAAACAATCCATAGTGCAGGGATAAGAGGTATTGAAATTGTAGAACATAATAACTCTCCTTAGCTGTTTTATTTCTCTATTTCTTTTCTTTCCCTTTAAAGCTGCAAACTGTGATGGCCTGCAAGTTCTGGCTTGTAAGATCTGTACAGAAAAAAATGCAAAAACCATTTTAGCCTCTGAAATTTGTTGATTTTTAGTGTGCTAAAAAAGAGAGAGAAAAGTGGGTATAGCTGTAATTTTCAGAGGGACTTAAGCCACTACTCTGTGAAGCTCAGAGAATCATAAAATAGCATAGGTTGGAAAGGACCCTTAAAATCAGCTAATTCCAACTTCCTTGTCAGGGCCAAGGGCACCTTCCACTAGACCGTGTTGCTCAAAGCTCCATCCAGCCTGGCCCTGAGCACTTCCAGAAATGGGACATCTGTGACTCCTCTGGGCAACCTGTTCAATTGCCTCATCAGCCTCACAAAAATAACTTATTCCCATTATCTGTTCTAAACCTACCATCTTTAAATTGAAAGTCACTACTCTTGTCCTATTACTACATGTTCTTGTAAAAGCTCCCTCTCTTTAGCTACTGAAAGGTGCTGTAAGTTCTCCTGGAGCCATGAGGTTCACACAGACCCACCTCTCAAGTCTGTCAGTCTCTCTCTGGATGGCATCCCTTCCCTCAGGTGTGTTGACTGCAGCTCTCAGCTTGCCTGTGGCAAGCTTGCCTTTCCATGTCACCAGCCTATCACTGTCCCTGTCATCAGTCTATCAAATACTACGTTATTGAACCTCTGAATTAAAACTTCCAAGAAAGTTGAAATAGTAAGGATATGGAGATGCCAAAATGAGACAAGCTGCTCTTTTGTGCTGCTCTGCATTGTTCATTAGCAGAGGCTCAGGTAAGCATCCTTCATTAAACAGGATGGTCTCTATCTGATTGGAATGCAGCTGGAGTTATCTGGGGCAGGCTTTGCTGAATGTGTTTGCCTTCAAAACATGACTTTCATCTCTCAGGCTGCTTTGAATGGGCTTGTGAAGACTATAAACTTCACCCAGTTCATGTGATCAGTCAACCTGACAAGAAGAGGTCTTATTTTTCTCTCTGAGATCTTTCTGAATAATTATGCCTTCCCTGAGAGACCTCACACATAGAGACCTTAAGGCCTGAAGAGAATCGTGATTGCTTCAGAGCTTGTGAGACTGGGATGTGAATTTTCCCTCAGCAGGGTAAGCACAACTTCTCTGTTAGCCATGGACACACAAGTCGCTCTGTGCATTTTTTGGTGTGGCTCTAGCAGGCAGCATCTGTGATGGCTCTCCTCTGGTCAAAAACAAAGCCCTAAACTCCAGTCCAACTTGTGGCATTGTATCCTGGCTCTTGCTTTCAGCTTCTTTCCTTAGTCATAGTGCTACTCACTGGTTTGTAGTTTTATGTTCTCATTCATTATGGATGTCACATGTCCAACTGTTCATGGGACATCCCTCATCGGTTCCTGAGCCCGCTCAAAGTTTGTGCATGAGCTGAGATTCACCCTTGGGCCACTCACAGTTATAAAAAGCCCCAGGATTTGAGTTCTCTACTTTGGTAGTAGTGATTCATTTGTTAACTACACCCACTGATGACAGTGGCAGAGCTTGAACAGAATGTGTTACTTGATGTGTGTACAGGCATCCAGATTTGGCTCCCACGTGCCTTGGCCTCAGATTTTAATAACTCAGGATCCTGTAAGACTGGAAATAGCGAGTTTACGCTAATGTGATACAGAAATTCCAAGATCAATCAAGATAACTGAAACCAGCATGGGTGCAAAGTTTGTTAAAAACCTACTCAGTGTTCTTTTCTTTCAGAGCACATTTCTGTAGCTCCCTCTGGGCCCTGTTCATTTTGTATCACTGTAACTTAGACACCTGTGCTGCCATGTGGAGGATATGATAAAACAAAGCCCGTAATTTGTACCGTAGAAATGCTGGGGAAGCTTCCTCGCCTGTAAAACACATGGTCTGTTCTGCTGACTAAATACTGTTGCTCTCCTGATAAAGATTTGTAGGACTTGAATTGTCCTTAAGTAATTTTTTACTACCTCTGCCATTTCCTGCAGCAGCACAATGGGACCAAGCAGGTGGGCAGGATGGTTTGGTCTGGAGCATTCACCAAGCACTTTGCTGGAACACAGCTTTTCCCTGTCACCTTGGATGATTCCAGCTGACTTTGACTTGTTACCCTGTAGGTGAGACTGGGATAGGAGAGCACCTTGATGACTGTAGTGGGTGAAATACTCCAATATAGTAATATGAAGTGCTACAGCAGTAGATTAAGAGCACTAGAGGGTACAAGAGAATGAAAAGATGCTTTAGTGGCATATGAAATCCTTTTATCATCTTATGGTTTAATTATTTCAAATACAGTGGATCTCAAGGGGATCTGTGTTTTCTGTCCAGTCAGCTAAAGAGCTGTGAATATCCCCTGTCCATCTGTCTTTGGAGGCCCTGCCTATGTTTGCTGAGCAGACACAGGGATCACCATCCTGAGTAGAGGAGAGCACTCTATTCCTTTGGACACTGACACCCTTTTTTAGGGTCTCCCCAGGCTTTTCTTTTTTGGAGAACACATTCCTGTTTCCTGCCTTATGTCATCACTGAGGAATATGAAGTAGTGGATATGGAACCATTTTCCTTGGTATGGTTTTTTTTTTTTTTTTTTTTTTTTTTTTTTTTTTTTTTTTTTTTTTTTTTTTTTTTTTTTTTTTTTTTTTTTTTTTTTGTGGTTTTGTTGGGGGTTTTTTGGCCTGTTATAGCTAGACATTTCCCTTATCTCATTTATTTTTTTAAGTCATGCTCTCTGTGATCTTGGTGGTTCTCTCAAAGCCTGGGAGCAGGAAAGTGGGGAATACCCATTTTCATGGAAAAGAGAGAATTTCTGTTGCCTCTGGTACTTCTGATACTTGGAGCCCTGAAGTCAGCGTGCAGCGTGAGTCTAGTCAGTAAAAGCCACTGAAATACACACTAGTGATGAGAGCTGGACAGAAAAG